TGCACAGGCAGAGCTGCGTGCAGGCAGAGATGTGAGCACAGCATTCTTCATGTGTATCCCATCACATGGCACGGTGCAATGAAGATTGTAAAAAAAAAAAAAAAGAAAAAAAAACCCAACCAAAAAAAAAAAAAAACACCACAGCAACTTCTATTTTAAATTCTGTAATGAAAAGTCCTGTGAAGTATGTGCCTTCCAAAAGTGCATTCCATCCATTTCTAACTCCTGAGGGCCCTCTAGTGCACCGCATGCAAATCTACTGAAGAAATTCCTATTTTCCATGTCTGGTTTTTTGTTTTAAATTTAAAATAACCCCCGTGTCCCCTGAATTTTAGAACTTTGGGGAATCGTATCTTCTCATGATGAGGCACGGAAAACAGATAGTGGCTTTTAAATGCTGTTAATATGCTATTAAGCAGGTCGGGAGTGTTTCCTATTTGTGCTTTCCAAAACGAGGCACAGCACAGTCGCTATACAGATGGAAAAGTTGAGGCAGAGAGAAGTTAAGGGCTTGTGCAGAGTTAAGCAGTGAGACATTGGCAAAGCTCTGACTTCTGAATCCTTGCCTTGTCTAAGTACAAAATAGTAAAATGTATATGTTCACTGTAATCCAAGCTAATGGATATATTCTCTTCTCTAATTAATACTAAGGGGAATACACCATTAAGGAATTGGTTTATATTTTTTAAAACCAATCTGAACTTTTTAAACTTTTTTCACTGGACATCATTTTTCTTTCCTTTTTTATCTAAATATGTAGTATTGATTTAAGACTGCAGCATTTGTGCCCGTTACAAGGAAAAGAGACTTTGTATCACCTGCTTTCTTCAAAACTGAGTTCTTAAAGGAATAGGGATTGTAAGAATTTATATTTTTTTTAAGTTCAAATTTGACTGAAGGGACATATCCCAAAGAAAAAAGATTAATTCAAAAAGCTACAGACAAGTGTGTTGTAGTCAGTAAAGTTGTGTGTACTGTTACTTAACATTTTTTTATACTTTGAAGAAGTTGTCAGAGATCGTTTAGATCAGACCCTCTGAAAGATGAAGGGTCAGCAGGGAGAGGTACCAGCTTTGCAGCCCATTTGACCAGCTGTAGAGGGCTCACAGTGGGAATGGCCTGCTTTATCCTATTCAATACCAGTGCAAAGTGAGTGTAAAATATCAGCAAAGTTGTATGTCTAAAACCAGGGTAAATAAAGGTAACTGAGTATTGCAGCCTGAGCACAGAATTTCACCCACGGCTCATATTTACACATCTTCATGAAGAAATTTTTTGAAATTTCTAATATACGCTCCCTACTTTAAAGATAAAAATCTTACATGTCCTGGATTCTGTTTTGACTTACCACTGGTTTTGACAGCAAATAATTCAACATGAAGCTTTTAATCCACTATATTTCTTCCAAGTGTCTTTGAACTATTTTGGGGGGGGTTACTTTATATTGCTGTTGGTAATATATTTGTTGCTTGAGTTGGAAACGTATCATGCTGTAACAGTTGTTTTCAAATGCCGAGTTCTTGCATGTAGACAGCACCATGACCATTACAATCAAGCAGTGCCAAAACACAGTCTATGCCAGTTACTAACAGGTTTTTCTTGCTATGACGTTTCTCTTAAATTAAAACTTTTAAGAACCTGTTGTTCTTCACTCCTTTCATTTGTAGCTTTGAAATCAAAATGTAGTGTACCCACTGATGTACAGTGTTAACTGCTGGGGGTTTTTTGAGGCTTTCTAAATGTGATGATATCAATAATATTTCCTTTATTTTTCACGTTCAGAAGGGAGAACTCATTCTTTAAATGTTACACCGTTACAGTCTTTGGAATGGATGGCAGTAGGAATCCAACTAAATTGGATTCAACATCTTGTTAATTTAGCAGATGTTTGATATTTTAATAGCAGATATTTAGCAGATATTCTAATTTTGAATCCTTAAAAGATAACAAATGATGAAACATTCATTTTTTCAGCTCTTGTGGCGTACAGCTCCAGCACCCTACTAGATTTCACAAAATAATTAAGGTTGGAATGGCTATGAACTTGTCTGGAAAACAAATGTTTCTTTGTGTTTCAGGAAAGACAGACAATGTCTGTTGTTCAGGTGGGTAGTATTCTTCTTTCTGGAAGCTGCAGAAGGGCACTAAAGAGCATTACTGAGCTCAAAGGCTACTTTCTCTGTTGTCATAACATGTTCAAGACCAATTTCTTGAAAGAACAGACTGAACAACGTTAGTTGTCTGAGCAAATTCTGACAGAGGTTATTACACTTTGCCTACCTATATTTATCCTGTAATGTCAGTTTCCTTGCTCTAAACTGTATCTGTGATACTGCCATCTGCATACATTGAACTCAACTTCTCAGGTCATTTTCTGCCCATTTCATGGGCAGTGCTATCCCTTCGTAAGTTTAGGAATACAGGTATATCAAAACTAGTATTGGAGAATAGCAATGAACAGAAAAGGGGAATTTAAGAAGTATTTTCTAACCCTTGACATCCCTAGGTATAGATTGAAAGTGTGAATGAATAGCTGAATTGCAATCTGCAATTATTTTCTTTTTTTAATTTTTTTTTTGTTTGACTTCTGAAATTCATCTCCCCCTGTACCTGTGTTTATAGAAGAAAGCAGACCAACTTATATTCACAGGAAGGACTGTCCAGCACTGATGGTGCTGGACAAGCTACAGACACTGAAGCAGCTGGAGGCCAGCACTGCCACCAGCCTTCCTAGTAGACAGTCTCTGGCCAACCTGCCAGAGATGGGTGGACTGAACCACCACTAAAAAGCTCCTGCATCTTGACTCATGTGCTGGCAACCTCAAAGAGCACCATCTAGTTACTTAAATGCTCTGCACTATTTTCAAATCGCTGAAGATGGGCAGTTGACAGTAATCCATTTTTGAGGAAATAGCAAAAATTCACTAATTCACCTGAAAGTTCTCAAAACTTCCTTTTCACAAGGTTTAGACATAAATCATCCTCCCCTATGCAATTTCCTACAGCCTTTCACTTTTGCATCCTTCTTAGTCCTTCCAAGTACAGCTTCTTCCTTCTCATCTGAATTATTATTCATACTTCTTATTTGCAACTTCTTTTGTAGGTTATCTTTTTCCTTCTTTAATCTAGACTAAGTACAGCCTTCTGGGACAGTGAATACTACACCTGGAGAACTAAAGAAAAAAGAAAAGGGGAAAGCATTTGTAACAACACAGTGATACTATATTATTATTAATGCAAAAAGCTACCTAGCAGCTCATGTTTCTCTCCAAAATGCCAGATGGGGTGTCCATTTTTACTAGTATGAGTTTTGTATTTTAAAGCAATCCATGTCCTAGTTCTTCATCTAAGCTTTCCTTCTCGGAAGGATTGGCAATTTTGGTTTTAAGAGATATGGGATTTAAAGATGTTTAGTTAGTTTTCCAAGATGTCTCAGTTTGGTTCTTCCAACTGCAGTTATGACTGCAGAAGTTGCTGTCATTCAGCAAAGAACAAAATATTGTCTGTGCTGGTTTGCAGACCATTTTGCAATAAAAGACTGTCTTTAAGTGGATGCTTGTTAGACTCACAGAAGGCTCTGAAATTTGAAATGCGAATGTTGCCATTTTCCATTTTAGTAAACACTGTGCATTCATGGACTTGCTTTCCCATATACTTTTCATCTCCATAACCCATGATTTCAATAAAACAAAGCAGCACAAATGAATGAATCAGAATCTGTCCGTGAGATGTTTCATTTGTACCACCTGTGTCATTTCAACTGTTGTGTTAATGAGAAAGACAACACTCCAAAACCAGCATGGTTTGAAGAAATAGTGAGAAGAGATGAAACAATGAGAAACAGGCAAGTATCAGTTCAAGAGGGATAAAGACAGTAATTATAAGTGACTGTTGATGACTGCTCTGGGATCCATTCTTCCAAATGAAACCAGGAGCAGGATTTTTGGAAAATGTTTTGTTTGATATCAAGATACTTCTGAAGCCAAAACTCAATACCCTTCTTTATGCCTGGACGCTTGAAAGGATGTCGTCCCAGGCTAGGCTCCTTATTGTGCATGTTCTTGCTTTCTATGTGCAGGTAGTTCAATGTAAAATATTAACATTTTTCTTAACATGTTTTTTCTGAATAAAATAACATAATGCATAGACTTGCATTAGCTTTAAAATAAAAACTTCTTTTTTTCTAGGTTATATTTGTGATTATTGTATGGGATGTTGTTCCTCGTGGATGCACTACAGCTAAATTATTTCCATAGAGATGTTCTGCAGTTGGTCTCACTCATGTCACACAGACGTTTACGTTAAAATGATTGATAAATGGTGCACTTCCAGCTTTACTGAGTCCATGGGACTCAGAACTTATTCTCTGGAGAAGAATCGCATGTCCTTATTATGGATAGTGCAGATTTGATTTGCAAAATATGAAGCATTACTTTAGAAGGCTTGCGCTGTGTTTGCAAGGAGATTGGTTTGGGCTGCCATCTGGAAACCGTCCCCTAAGAGGACGCGGAGAAATGTTTGCTTTGTGACTAAACACGCTGACTAACCGTCTGCGCCTCAAGTGGTCTGCACCAAACCCTTACAGGGAAACCGGCAAACATCGCTGCCACAGCGTGCAAAAGGGTTTTGTTTTTTTTTTTCCTACTCGGATTTTGGTTGTTGAACAATGCGGGGGCTTCCAGGGCAAAAGGTGGCATATTTTGTGCTTAGAAAAAACAAAAAAACACAACCCTGGCCATGTGGCAGCTGCCCAGCCTGGATGCCCCGACACCAGGGGCCTTCCCTTCCCGCCGGCAGCAGGCCCAGCGGCCGCACCATGGCCTGGCAGCCCTCCTGCCTTCCCCTCACAGACGCTGCCCGCGGCCCCCCGGCAGCTCCCCGCCGGCAGGGAGGCCTCGGGGGAGGCGGCTCCTTGCCCTTCGGCAGCAGCCCTGCCTGCAGGCCGTGCCCGCCTCCCCGGGCACACGCCGCCGAGCCCAGGGCTCCTTTCCCTCGGCCGGCGGTGCGGTAACAGCCGCCGCCTGTGACCTAGGCAGGTGCGCTGCCGCTGAACAATGCACGATTCTCTTGTCAGCTGCCGCTTACGGCCGGGGAAGGGCGAGGGGGCCTGTGTCACGCCGTGAGTGCCGACATTTAAGATTTCTCGTGGTGCTTCTTCCCCGCCTGACCGGCAGCCGGCGCCCCGCCGTCAGCCCTTCCCCGCCGCGCCACCCCATAACGCCATCACGGCTGCGGGAGCGCCGGCAAGCGGCCGGGAGGGGCGAGCAGTCGGCCGGGGAGGCAACCCTCCACCCCGCTGCGGATAGGGAGGAGGCGGGGCGCGCTGAGGGGCGGAGCAGGCCCGGGCGGGAGGCCGGAGCGGCGGGGGAGGCCTGTGCGTGAGCGCGGTGGGGGCTGCTGCGGAGGGGCGCGGGCAGCGGCGGGGGCTGAGGCAGCACGGAGGGGCCAGGGGAGGGACTGGCCGGTGCGGGCACGTCCCCGGCCGCCTTCCCGCCCCGCCGGCTGCTGGAGCGGAGCGCTGGACAACAGGCCGCGGCGGCTGGGGCGCTGGGGAAGGGAAGGGAGCCGGCTGGAGGGGGCTCTGCGGTTCCCCCGAGTAGCGGGGCCGGCCCCGCCGCCTGGCGCTTCCTTCGGCGGAGGCCTTGGCCGAGGGCTGGGCCGTATCCCGCTGGTGGCCGGGGCCTGTCCTGCCGGAGCCCGGGAGTGTTGGTGTCAAGAGGAGAAGGAAGTCCTCCTGTGCCGAGAGCGCAGCCGTGCCCTCCTGCCCGAGGCCGCTTCCTCAAAATGCTGCCCGAAGGAGGTCTTTCCAAAGCGTTCATTGTGGGGAAGTGAGGAGATGTTTCTGGAGCAGCTCCTCAGGGTATCCCTTGCACCAGAGGGTATCACGCTGAGCTGCCTCGGCACTGATAGGAGCCTCCTGGGATAGGGATTAAAGTGTCCACCCCTACTGGCAAGTAGATGACGGGTGAAATGTACGAATAAACAATCACTGCAGCCTCTGAAAAATACCCATACAGTTTCTCTTGGATCTTGACAGCAGCTTGGATCTGCCTTGAGGTGAAAGCTCTCAAAGGCAGGATGCGTGATTCCAAGCCTGCCTGCAGAGCCCGTAGCAATATGGTGCCCGTGGATTAAGTGAGCATCGTAATTTGCTGTGTGTGGAAAGGGAGGAAATGGTGACCTATTTCTGAGGAAAGAGTGAATAAACAGAGCACAACCCTCCAGTGAGGTAAACCGGTGAAGCTGGCAGGATAAATGCAGTGTGTGTCAACAAAATTCCGTTATGTTTCTGCCACAGCTTGGGAGCCCTGGAGTGCCCTTTAATAAGGGCAAGGTAGTGAAGAAAGCCCCTTCAATAACATCAACAATTGCAGTTGTCTCTGCTTGAGTTTCAGATAGAACCACTATGTTCTAGTATCTTAGCGGTTCCTGGTTTGGCATTTGGCAGCTATAAATCTTTGGAGGCAGGTGTGCTGCAAGTCCATCTGGCAATAATGTAGGATTGTAGAGAAGAGGCTTTTAGTGAACTCTCTGGAGCTCTCTGATGTGCAAAGTATGTGCACACGTGCAAAAAAGTAGTCAATGCTGTGTGCCAGTTCGTTATTTACTATTGACATTGGATCATAGAATCATAGGATAATTTCGCTTGGAAGGTACCTCTGGATGTCATCTGGTTCAACTCCCTGCTTAAAGCAGTGTTGTCATTGAAAACAGAGCAGGTTACTTCAGGCCTTGTCTGGTTGAGCTTTCTCTTGAAGGCTTTAAAATGGAGCTGAAAGTGGGTCTGAAATTTAGCCAAATCTGGAGCTAAGTGCCCCAAATTTTGGAAAGTTACAGAGTTTAAAGGAGTCTGAATGAAGCATAGTCTTCCTCACTGGAACTTGTTTCCTTTCTTTTTTTGATGTCATCGTTCTGTTTCTCCAGCTGTGCAGCAGTCTTCAATGTGCACAATGTAGAAATTTTTGGAAGATAAAGCACAAGCCGAAAACTATATTGGCCCGCAGCACACAGGTTTTCTTTTAGGAGATGCAAAATTGAAATATTTTTGAAGTAACCTTTCTCTGTACATTAACAAAATCAAAAAGGCTGATAAACCACTTTAAATTTGAAAGGTTCTTAGTATTTTACCTGCATAATGAATTTTTTACAGGCTAAAGTACTGAGGTACTTGTTGCAGTGTAATCAACTTCATTTCTATGTCCTTAACAGGATGACCTTCTTCCCACACATAACCCAGCTCTTATGCCTTATTTCTCCACTGAATGAAATTAAATGTACTGAGGGAGTCAAGGTTCATGGAATGAAGACAGCTGATGTAAGCCTTTATCTATCTTAATCCATTCTTGTGGTGTCTCATTGTTTGTTAGCCTGTGAAGTCAGTCTTTGAAGAAATCCCAGCATTATTATTTTCACTGCTCAGTGTCTACAGGTCCCAGGTAAAACACACCGAAGGAGAAAAAGATAATAAGATAAATGGAAATACCTGTGTTGTTGTACCTTCATGTTGTGTCTTCTAAATGTCATCTGTGTTTGTCTTCAGTACTCAAGTTAAAAATATACTGACATCTTTTGAGGGGAAAAATTCTAGAAACTAAATTATTTTGTTAATTGTGGAATTGAACTTTTCTCCTGCTAATGCAAATAATTAATTTCAGCTGACACTGATGGCCCTGCTGAAGCTGTAGATAAAAGCACAACCCCAGCAGAAGCAGTTCTCAGTGTCCTAAGGACTCCAGAGAAGGTAAGACTGGAGGGTAAAATAAGACAAAATGATGTGCAGCAGCTCAGCTCTCCCTTTTGAGCAGAGAGTGTAGTCACAGTACCCATTACAAGACTTGGCAAAATTTCCACCATCCTATTTCAGCTTTTCTCCTCCAGGCAGTAGCTAGTCCACCTACACTGGGGAATGTCAAATTGCATTAGGATGTCATTTGAGTCCCTATAAATAGCATTACTTCAACAACAGGATCGCATGTGTATCTCTATAAATATGCCCCTTTATACTCACAGCATATTAAGTATACTGTTGCCATTTGAAGTTAAATTTCCAAACACTTTTCTTATATATAGTCTTTCAGGTGTGATGTTAAGACTACATATGCAAAGATCATGTTATTATAGTTGTCCTCATAGCCACCTTTTCTGTCAGTCATAATCCATATCAAAAGGGTATATGTGGTACTTCTATTGAGTGTAACCTCAAAATGAATTTCCCACTAAAAAAAAAAGGTATTATGAGGTTAAAAAAAAAAAAAAATCTTTGCCTTTCTTATAGTTACATAGAATGAACAAAGAAGCTTTAGAGGCAGCTTCTCCCTTCGTTCCCCACAGAAAATATGAGCCTTTATTCATGTTTTGTGTCAGCTAAAGGAATCCCTGTGCTTACCTTATGATCCTATGGTGATCCCACTCTGGCATCTGTAGAATCTCTGCATCTGTTCCTCACTTCTAGGCAGCGGGGCTGCAAATTGCTATAGCTTCTTCTGCCAATTAAGATTTTGTCTAACTCCTGCTTCTTTACACCCCCTCAGTGTGACCCCACTTTGCTACAGGAATAAGGAATATTCTGATAGAGCAGCTCCCTAGAGTGTCAGGGCTTCCCATAGGCCTCACAGATTCAAGCCCTCTTAACCTTTGAGTGCATTTCTACATGTCGTCGTATGTTTTCAGACATGCTTTTCTGTGAAGCTGGTTATGAAACACATGATAGTGATTTTTTTGTGTGTCTGTTTTTAAGTTATTTATTCACATTTTATGGCAGGTTTTCATGGGATTCCACAGTATGATTTGCAGTTCTCTCCAGCTTTTGAGAGATTTATAAGTAGGGTCTTTTAAGTTTCAAATTTCTGAACTAGGTTGGTATTACTTAATACTCCTTATGTTTAATTCCGCTCTCTGATTTCAGAATCTGTCAGGACTTGCGGCAAAACAGCTCCACAAAAAGAGGCACCTTCAAAACAAAGATGAACATCGGAAAAGCTTCCAGTTCCTTTAACAACAGCAATGGAACAGATCTAGCTATTGGCTTTACCTCTTCCACAGTAGCTGTCCTTCTATTTGGGACAAACTTTGTGCCTGTTAAGAAATTTGATACTGGTGATGGTAAGCTGATTTATATTCATTTTTTGGTTTGGGTATTTTTGCTAATAGGAGTAATATTTTGCCAGCAAATATGGGAGTTTCTGTAGCTAGACTTCTAATATTGTCATGGCCTTAATCCATAGGGCATGTTTTAATTTTCTTGGCTACTGTTAGAGTATAAAACAATGATGTATTGTTTCAGGATGTGGCAAATCTTTAGAAGAGCCTTTTTATGTGGTCTTGTGCACTTTGACAGTGATGATGTCATTTCATGACCATTTCACAATGAAAAGTGAAATGTCCTTTCTTCTACCCTTGTGGGGATTCTCAAATACATACAGTGGTTTTTATTCTGTAAAAGTCGATGGACTTTGGAGTGTTGCCTTTCATTTGTGGACCTAACATAAAAACAATCAAAAACTGACATTTTCATACTTTATTTCTGGTGACTCAGTAAGAGGAAACAATTACTTCTATTTCCCATTTGAGATTTTATCACTTTATTGTACCAGGTTCATGTTGTATTTGCATGTTTATATGAAGCGTAGTCAATTACCGGATCCCCAGATGAATAAATCTGCCATTATGTTACTGCAATAATAGTATCTGCGTTACAGGCTGGATATAACCTCTCTCTCTTTATCGTGCCAAATATGGTCCTAACAAGAAAAGGCTGGACTTTAAAGCAAAAGTCTTAGCTTAGCTGGCATAAAGTTAACTGGTCTGCCTTGTTGACTCTTAAGAGAATTTACAGAGGTAGAAGGGATCTGTCCAAAGTTTTTCTCTTCCTCAGTGTCCTGGATTAGTGGAAAAGCCTGAGCCCTGAGCTTTGAAGGAGTTTTGTTCTGTGCAGTTGTCATCTGTGTTAGCTGCTGCTAGGGTGGTGGGAAAAGTTTGCAGTAACTGAATATCCTGTTTGTCAGAAGCCTTTCAAAATTTTCATGTGTTTGAGAATCGGGGCTTGTGTAAACTTTGTCCAGCAAAGTATCTTTTGTGGCTGCATATGAAGGCTGCATGGTAAGGAAAAGGTTGACTGAATTATAATACCCCACCCTAAAATACATCTTTTTGAATATGTTATAACATGGTTCCCTGAAATTCAAAAAAGATGTGGCCACCTTTCAATTTTTCTGTACTATTTTATCTAAAACATAACACATCAAGAGATTCACAGGCTTAGTATTCTAAAAGTTCTCTGTTGTGTGCATTTGATTTTTCCATAGGCATGTTCTTCCAATGGATTCTCTGTGCCTCCATATGGATAGTTTCTTTGGTGGTCAATTTAATCCAGAATTGCCCCCGGTTTTGGCCTCTGGCTATGGTTGGGGGTTTTGTGTGGGCTACAGGTAAGGATAAAGAGATTATATTTCTTGAAACACAAAGAAATACTAACTCTTCATAAAAAGTGGTGAAAACTTCTCTGTATATAAGGTAGTAGTTATTGGCTTCTTAAAGTCTTGATATGAATGGAGCTGTACTTTTATAGAAAATATTATTTTGCTTATTTCGGAAATATTTACTTATATTATTATGCTTATTTTATAAGCAGCAAATTCACACTAAAAATAACTTTTAAAATGGTATTGAGGAAAAGTCCATGTTTAATTTTTTTATTTTTAAAAAACACTATTTCCTACCACATTATAATTTCCCAAATGTCTTTGCCTTCTGAACAGTTACAGAATCTACAGCAAAAATATACAAGATCACAGTCTAGTTTTTAACTGATTTTAACTTTGTTTTTTTGTATTTCAGGCAACGTTACAGTTGTCCCTATTGTTAAAACTGTTGGCTTAGCTCTTGGTCTTTTGATATGGGCATCTTTTAATTTGCTGACAGGTTGGGCAAGTTCAAGGTGAGTATCTTTAAACCTTAAGTCATACATAATTATTCCTGTCAATTTTTCATTAATGACTGCAGTGAAAACACTATCACCAATAAAGAGGATTTATATATGTAAGATCTTTTTCCCTCTCAGTGGAGAGTACTCAGGTTAATTATTTTACCATTTTTAGTTTTCTCTGTCTCGATATGAAGAAGAATACCCAGTGATGTTCATTAACACAATTGAATGAATAAATAATGTATTTGTTAATGTAAAACTAGTACCCTGTTTGTATTTTTTTCTTCTACAGCATGGGCTGATAAAATAATTTAAACTAACTTCCAATTTTTAAATACCCCCTTTAAAAAAAATCAGTGTAAATTAAATCAGTTTAAAGATGATTTTTTGTGAAGTTGATGTAGCTTTTTGCAAGTCAACTGAGGCACTGATCCAGTATTCCAAATATAAACTTAAGCGGAATTATTTGCATGAGTAAGGATTTCCAAGACTGGGTTATAATTTAACTATTTGTATGCAGTTAGTGCAACTAAGTGAAATTGATTAAATATTCCAGGTTTGGTTGGTTTGGAATTGATCCAGAAGAGGTATCGAGACCAATCTTAAATTATATTGGAGCTGGACTTTCACTATTAAGGTAAAAATTTATTATTATCATAAATTTCTGTAATATAAAATATATATTTAATAACCACAAGGACAATTTAACTAGAGGGCAAACGTATTGTAATATATTTTTGCAAATTGATTTACTGCAGAATTCATGAGCTATCCATATCTAGCTGGTCAGTATTGTATTTCAGAACAGAAACATAGATGATACCCAGTACGGTGGTGAAATGGTTGTTCATAAACACAGAAATATATTTTTATGCTGGTGGCTGTATTCATGGCAAAGCAGTGATGCAGTGATTGTCTCCATATCTAGGTTATTGAAATGGTTCACTTTCCCCAAATTTTGTGAGAGAGGAAAGACTGACTAGCAGAATCTTGCCGAGAAAACCTCTGAGATTTCCAGTCTGACTTTGCTCAGTCACGAGTACAAATCCTTCCTCTTAACTGTAGAATATGCCACAGGACCCCTTCCCAGATTTGCAAAGCAAAAGGCTTTACGAAGCCCAGAGGCTTTTCATTATCTCCTGTCCTTAATAGCTCCCTGTCTTGTACTCTTAAGCCATGCTTAAAACTTCCAAACAGTAGCTTCCTTTGGGATCTTCAGAAGGACTTCTACTTCGACTTTTTGTTTATTATTTGTATGAGTGTACGTTTTGGTCCAAACACAGAGAAAAGAGGGTCTCTGTTACATTGCAGTGTTCTTGCTTTCCAGCTGCGGGGCTAGGAAGGTCTTTGTAGGAACATAACGGTGGCCCTAAATTCCAGGGGCAGTAGGTTTGCCCATCAGCGTGCTAAGCAGCAGATGCACCTAATGCCTTCAGGAACAGAAGGGTGTTAAGAACACGGAGATGATGGAGCCATTCTTGATTGCTCAGAAGGAGCTGCTGCCTTAAATTCATGAATTTTGCTTCCACACTTCTTTCCTAAGAGTCTGCAGCTTTTTACCCCTTACCATGACATGTACCACATGATTTGGTGAGGTACTCACAGAATAGTAGCAGTACTGCTATTCCAGCCTGATTAATTAATTCAGCTCACCACCTGCTTCCTGCCTGTTTCTGAGATATGGTGGAGAAGGGATCAACAGGGAAAAAGATCGTGACTAAACGTGTTTTCCTGGCAAGCTGCACAAAGCCTGTGTATGTTGCTCTGCAGGGCTCAGAAGCATGTATTTCATTGTAGCCTCCTGTGTGGAGCCTACATGTGTTTGTGTAGGCCCTCTGGAGGAAGCTGACATCCTTTTACACCTGTCCTTATTCCTTCTCTAGGAGATGAATCATTCTTCAAATGGAGACATTCTGTTTACATCTATAAGAAATTCCTAAATCATTAAAATATCTTCCATAAAAATAAAAACCAGATCCTGCCAGTTCTGATTACACGTATTTACCTGATTTCCTGGAGCTGGGGGTACTAATAATGTTACCCTTTCTTCCTCATGTTATTCACTTAGTGCACTGGAGCACCACTGAGCAATACTCCTTCCACATATGTGTGAGGCCTTGTATGAACAGTATTCCCTCACATGGGACAGAAGACTAAAAATTAACGTTTTTCCTTGAGCACAGAGCCAATTCTGTGCAGATTTAAGCTGCTCCATATAGAATTTTCATGCAGATGTTCCACTGTATTTGTGGTTTAGTACAAAAGGGCACTGTTAGCTAGAGCAACTGTTGTTAACATGTGGTCGTAACTACATGCTGTAAAAAGGAGACATTTCAATCCCATGACATAGAAGAGAGATCTGTAAAGTGATACAAAGAGTAATTTATTTACTTTCTCTTTAGTTGTTTGTTAAGCCTGTTAAAAGCAATTACATTTTAAAAATATATTAAAGTGACTCAAGGGCAATAATAAAAATAAAGTTATACGCCTCCAAATAAAACTTTTGTCTCTGAACACTAAGCGTTATGTCCTTATGAGCTGACATGGTATTTACTGGTGTATTTTTCTCTTCTGAGTGCTGTCATATTTCTTTTTATAAAAACTGAAGTCCAGAGTTCTTCACCTTCGTTAGAAAGCACGCCTTTACTGAGAGAAAGTGTAAGTATGCTTGTTATTTTACAGCAGTGAAAGTATATATTCATCTAAAAACAAACAAAAAAATTGCTTAGTGTTAACAGATTTGCTAGGATTTATGGTAGACCACATAAAACTACATAAATATGCATTGATTTTATTTAATTTGTGGATCTTGTATATCCAGTCAAATGTGAGCAACAGGAAAGGTTTTTCCCAAGTGTTCTTTCTCTATTGTCAGCATTAAATGTCTTAGAAGTACTTTTTCGTTATGAGAGATTATATAAAAGACAGAGTGTATTACTTTCCTATCTGAGAAGATGAAGCAATTTTAATTAAAACTTAACTATAAAACTAGAAGAGTGCTTAGATGAAAGGCAACCGTGTATAACTCTTACCCACCAGATTTTTGCCACGTTGCAGAGCCAGGAGACTGTCAAAAGTTGCTGATTCTTGGCATCAGCTGTGGCACGTGTTGGAGGCCAATGAGGGGTGCCAGATCAGGTGTCACTCCTTCAGGAGCCCATAGTGTGCAACAGAAGCTGGAGAACAATAGGCTGCTACCACCATTGTGCCTTACTACTGTAGGTCAAGGCTCAGTTGCTACCTGAACAGAGTCCCTTAGAGCTTTCTAGCTGTGCTCACTGCTCGCTTCTAGTCCACCAGACCAAATCACAGAAACAATCTGACTGCAGGATTAGAATAAAATGACACTGCAATTTCTTTATGCTGCAGACAGGGGTGTTAACATCCCTGTTTGAAAATAGTTGTAATGTTCTGATAGTAACACCAGAGCTATCAAGAAAAGGCAAAACCACATCATAAATAAAATCTGTAGATTAAATCATTAATCAAGTTTAAGGAAGGACAAGTTCTGAAAGTCAGATCTACCTGGATGCAGATTAAAAAAACAAAAATGCTAGTGAGTGGTCTATTATGTATTAAACTGAAAGTCCATTTCCAAACTCATACTTGTAGACTTTGAGGTAGGTAGATCCAATGATTAGTTTGTTCTATTAAAATAAAAAGTAATTCTACTTTCTTCAGAGTATTTCTGTGAACAGCTGTTGTTTCTCCTTCCATTTTCATTTTATTTTCTTAGAGCAAAACTGTTCTGTTTAATGCAATGTTTGAGATTATTTTTTTAAAATCGAATTAAATTAACCTTATGTGAAAACTCTTGTTTTTTCAAAGTCCATTAATGTTTCTGAAGATACTCCTGATGACTCATGGGTGAACAGACTTTCTCCAGCAAAAAAGAGACTCGTGTAAGTTATTAACAGTTCTTTTACTGGTGCAGGCTCAAGTAGCCAGACGCAGTAGCGGAACACAGTGTAAGAGCAGAATTTGTGTCCTGTGGTTTTCCTAGCGCAGTCGTGGATAATAAATACCAGTTTTTAAATACTAGTATAGTGTGCATATCTATATATGAATAGCTGCACTACTGAATCTAATCTGAAATTAGATTATTGCCTTTGCACTGTTGAGTGTGCTTTACCTTACTAATTATTAGTACTACTACAAAAGAACATTTGGCAAAGTAAATAGCAACTAAATAATTACCGAGCTGTTTTTTTTTATCACCTGGTTGATTAGCACTCCAGCATAGAAGGAGCATATGCTAAGAGTGTGCTTCCAGGTGTGGTTTCCAAGTAAATCTGTCTGGAGAAGGCATGGCAGTATGGTAAGGAGACAGCAGAGGTGCTCCAGGATGGAAGCAGCAGCTCGCAAGGGGCAAGTGTGGGGAGAGGAGACAGCCAAGAACACAACAATCTAGAGGTGGAGAAGGGGACTAAAGAGGCAATGAACCTGGGAGTAGTTATAAAGAATATATAGACTGCAACAGTGAAGCTGAGGGTGGCAGCATTTTAATTATATTTTTGTTTGGTTTCTCCTAGTTCCTCTTTTAAGAAATCCTAGTTAGTTGATTTCTTTTGTCATTAATCTAGTCTGCAGGCCCTTGGGGCAGGAATTGTCTCTGTTACTTGGCCGCAGAGTATAGGAAAACTAAGTTACTGTGTTGAATCGCTTCTACGCTAGAAAATAAAAATGTGCTAAAGTGTGTTCTTTTTATAGTGTTGCTAGCCATTTACATAATATACACAATATATAACTGCAATACTGGACTTAAGTGTATTGTCTACTTCCCTAATTAACGCTAGGCTATTTTCTCTGATATTTTCTTTTTTTAAAGAGGATGCAGCCTGGCTGTAGTAGCTGGAATACTCTACGGTTCCAGTTTTGTACCAGTACTTTACATCAAGGACCATGGAAGAAGAAATGAATCTATATACGCAGGAGCAAGTCAATTTGGTAAAGGCTAATAGATCACATTTACTTTATTTCATCAGTGTATTGTATTCTGCTGCTATTGTAAAGGCATAGAGTGAAGTTCTAGATACACCTGAAAATGTGCCGTGACAACTTACCAGTTCTGCACTATGTTATACGTTGGTGTGATCATAGTACTAGCAATCTCTGTGTCTCTGAGGTGAATCACATTGTTAAAAGAACAGTGAGAAACAGCCCAGAGGACACCATCCTTAACTCATAGCTATGTTTCAGAAGGCATTAAATAGTTGCACTCTCAAAATACAAAGTTCATATGCTTGGAACATGAGGTAAACAAGGGCACAAGCTGTACCAATTGCCAAATTAGTACACTGGTAAAGGCAGAGAAGGTTGATCATAACTAATGAGCAGAAGAGATATGTAAAAACATAAGTACTTAGAACCTTGTAGTTTCTGAAATGGAAACCTTTTAACATAAGCCTAATTGCCAATTTCAAACAACAGGTTTGAACAAACAACATATTGCTGAGACCACACAATGTTGCCATTCAGAAATTGTTATGTCACATACAATTTCTGTTGAGTACTGCAACTTATGTATTCCCCAGCTAGACAAAACAGATGTTGCCACTATGTGGCAACTATGCCTTTCCTGTTGAGAATTTACTTCTCCAAGGAGATAGAGATCATCTTGCAGCATCCTTCTGCTTATCCATGTTGGAAATACTCTCTTTAGCACATACAAAGTCCATGAAGGATTTATTATTGTTAATAATTATAGTGATCAAAGTTGTGATACATTCTTCAAGATAAAAAAAGGACAAAACTGTGCCATGTTTAGTTTATGCAGTACATGCAGTTGACTTGCCTTTAAATGTACAGAGAAACAAGGCTATATAGAGGAATACAAATATAGATGGTCAGGAGAAGATGTAATTATGTTAAATCCCCACCCCACTTTTGTAGCCTCACTTGAGGACTTTCTTAGGGTTTTAATAAATTAATTAAGTAGTTTGACTAATAGAATTCTGAAAATGACAACTCAGAAATGCGTAAAGGCCTGTAATAAATGTTAGGATCAGCACAGCAGTTAATTCATGTTTAATATAGGTGTGATTGACCGAATCCATCCACAGTCAAACTGGCAGCTCTGTCGATCACTATCACAATTGAATTTGATTTGTTAGCAGTAGCACCTTACGCGTTTTTGTCTGTGAATGCTATCAGTGAAATAATTTATTTAAAATTAATAACTGATGTTTTAGACTAATATAATTTTGTGATTTCTTTTTCAGATTTAGATTATGTTTTTGCACACTTCAGTGGAATATTTCTTACAAGTACCATCTACTTTTTGATCTACTGTGCAGTCAAGAAAAATAAACCTAATGTTTATCCCCAAGCCATATTGCCAGGTATGACTGTTTTTTAAATTAACTGTTAATTTTAGGCACTTCTTCTGAATGTTTTGCAGTTCAAGCTGTATGTTGGAATTTAGTTTGCCTTTCAGGTCTCTTCATTTAGCTTTTGTCTCTTTTGAAAGATCACTAGGTTACTTAATTAAGGTTAGGAAACAATGATAAATTTTGTTCTAACCTGAAACTAGAACAAAACAACATTGCATATTGTGGATTTGCAAAAACTGACTGTGCCAGAGTGGAGAGCACATTGCTCAGAAAATTGTGAACTTTAATTAATTTCCTACTTTATTTGGAGTTGCTGATTTTGTCCCTTGAGCTTTGGTTTAGATTATCAGAGCCAGCTTGTTAAAGTAGTAAATGTACTAAAATACATACATACAGTTGCTGTATTGTGCTATAAATATAAATGTTCCACAAATTGCTGCCCGTACCTTGCTGTGCGTGTTTTTGATTGGGATTTATTTTTCTAGGGTTTATTTCTGGTGTGCTTTGGGCAATAGCCAGTTGCTGCTGGTTCATAGCCAATCACTATCTCAGTGCTGTGGTCAGCTTTCCAATAATTACTGCAGTAAGTATATAAAAAAAAAATAATCTGTGACTAGAATTAAAAGTGAAGGGTCTTTTTTCCTTCCCATTTGTGGAAATAAGTTGAAATTATGACGTGTCTAGAGCATTTTAATCAAGAGTAAGTGTTGCCTCTTCTGCTTGTCTGTGCTTGCCTTCAGGTTTTTTAGTAACACGCGTGGCTGTGACAAGCACCATCACAGATTGATAGGATGAGTCTTTTGGTTATGTAAAAGCCAAAGATCTGTAACCAGAACTATATCAATATTAAATAGTAAACTGAAGTGATTAAAAGAAGAAACATTTTATGCTTTCATCCCAGCAAGTACATTTTATTCTGGGTGTTTTCATTTGTGATTTTTGTACTCTAGCAGTCATTTTGCTTGGTTAAGTCAAGTGTTTTTTCTTTTTACAGCTCTTGAACAAACATAGCAGATTATGTACTGCTGAAAATAATGTTCTTATGCAAATGAGGGGAAAATAGATTGGTCAATTTTGTCTGGTTTATTCCTATGTATGATACCATACCTTTAAAGCACTGTTAATTTCCAGAAGCTGCATAAATTCCATCACTAGATAAAAATAAACTTTGTTTTTACTCTCTTGCCAGTGTACTAGACGTTGATGCAAAGGTGGATAACTTCTGCCAAATGAGAGTTTATAAATATCAAAAGCAAAGTTTTGCTGAACAGTTGTATTTTGGAAGCAAGCTAATGAAACAGTGTTAATAGGGATTAAGCTTTGCCTCAAGATGCAGTAAATCAGAATAAACTCTGCAGTGTGCAACGAAGAAAAAGACTTGGGATCATTCTAATTAGAAATTGAGAGATTAATGGAAAGCAGCTTTAGTAACTTGGTTATCAGTATGCCTAAAGGGCAAGGATGTAAAATCATGAAATGAAAAATTTAAGGACAGCACTGATGAGAAACTGCCTATCTGGACCATAGGTTCAGAACTGCTGCTTTAGTTCACCCCAGAGAGAATTTCAGACAGCTATTCATCACATCCCTTTAACAGTTTGTTTCATTTTTAAAATGCATTCTTCTTACATTATCTAGAAAGTGAAATAACACCTTAGCTATTATTCAAATAATAGTTGGCAGTTTCACTAGAAAACAGGACCCACAAATACATTCGGCATGAGACACTCTTTCCTGCTGGCCCAAATCTGTGTCCTATCATCTGTACTGAAGATGGAGAGAGGAACATCACTGTCCAAACATCTGTCAAGTGTTTCTGAGAACAGCTCTAGTGGGAAACATCAACAGAGCCAGTTTTCGCTTCATATTCAGATAATATTTTTCATCAGTCATGAAAATTCAGATCGTTGCTCCCACAGGAAAAAACTGTGTTACCAGGAGTGCCGGGAAATGATTGTTGTGTTTCCCTGCTGTTAGCTGGGAAATCTGTACTACAACATCACAGATAATCAGCAGTTTTCCTGACCTGTCTATCTGGCTGGCTTTGTGTTTTGTCCAGATGCCTGCTATACAGGAAATACATTTATGTTCCAGTCTCTTGATGTCAGGCTGAGCAATAAAATCAAACTTTGTCCAACTAGTTAGTCATGCTCATAAAGGAAATGTTAGGAATATCCATGGTGGCTGCCAATAAACCTGAATAGTCCTCTGAAATGTGGTAACGTTGTGGACTGTAGTTTTGACTAAAGTGAAGCATATTATTTGGAGCCTACTAAAAGAATGTGTAACAACCAGTGCAGACACCATAGTGTAATTTAGAAAGACATTGTGCCTCCTCTGAAAAAAAACCAGTCTCTTGCCTCTTTAGCCCTTCTTGAAGATTTTATTGTCTTTCTTTGTAAAGATTTCAGTGATGTTAATGGTTTTGCCATGAGTGCTGCAATTATACAGAATGGAAAGGACTAAATTTGTTATCCAGACAAAATTTAACCAGCCTGAGAACAGTATGAAATGAGGAGGTGGTACATTTTAATGAATTGCTGTAATGTACAAATGAACCTTATTCCTTAGGGTCCTGGCCTTGTCGCTGCAATGTGGGGAGTCCTTGTATTTAAAGAAATCAAGGTAATCTTCTTGGGTCTCTTACCTAGTCTTGTTTGTCTCTAGCTCTAGGAACAGCATGCCTCAGTATACAGCTGTATCTCTCAGATTTCTCCTCCTTACAAGTACTGTGTTATGAAATTGAAAGTCTTATCATGCAGTACTAGGCTTTCCAAGAAGGTTGAAGAACTGCGGACAATTTTTACAGGAATGAAAATTTGCATTCCATAACTATGTGAGCAGCAGCGGGAGTAAATGAAGACTGTAGCAGGGCCAAGAAGCAGGATCCCAAGCACAGCCTGAAAACAGTCTTTATTTGAGCCAGTTCTTTCAGTGGGGGCAAGGGAAGGAGTAGTAGTCCTAATAATCTCACAGACAAATAGATTAGACATAGGGTCAGGATCACCAACGAGCGAAAAAATGAGACAGAGGTTAGTTGGCCTCGCTAATTACAGCATAATGTAGAGATTCTAAACTGAAAAGGCAGTGATTGCCTAGAACAGGCTAATTTACTCTACTGGATGTTAACATATATGGCAGACATTATTTTTCTGGTGGAATTTGAAGCATTGAATGCTAGCAATGTAATCTGCAGCTTCCCTTAGCTAATCTGTCCAAATTTGCTATTAGAGGTTATCTTTCCCAGTATTTTTGGTGACTGTAAAACACGTTAGGCATCCTTGGATCAGGAACTAGAAGTTCTCACTCTCTCCCACTGCAGATTAGTGTTCACTATCCAAATCTTTGTGACTCACCAAATCTTTCATTCTTTTCATACATTCTAGAATAGTATCTGCATAAGTGCTTACTGGTTAAAATAGACAAAGGCCTTTAAAAACACTTTTAAAAATTGCTGAATGAATTTTGTGAATATCTTACTAACTGTATGACATCATAGATTCCTATTATTTAACTGTTTTGAACATCAAATATGTTAGAAATATTATATGAAATAAAATGGTATAAAATTTACCATTTAATGTAATCTATTTATTACTTTTGTCATAAAATGAAATCCTAGTTCTTTATTTTTTTGTGCGTGAAGTGGTACCTATTGTGACAACATTTTATTTTTCTTTTTCTCTCCCTTTCCTTATCCAGGGACTGAAAAACTACCTGTTACTCTCAGTAGCATTTTGCATCATTTTGTCTGGATCACTCTCCACAGCTTTTTCTAAGGTTTGAAAGGATCTTCTGGACCAGTAGATGGTGCTACTGTTTAATGTAATCAGACGGAATACATAATAATTTTCAAAATGTATGCCCAACATTTATCCTAACTTGCTTCAGGCAACTGAAAAAGATAACCTTTGTTAAATGTTCCCATTTGTCATGAAAGAAAATCTGGAAATGTTTGTTTCTGCATTTCTTGGAACAGTAAGGATATCAAAGGATTTTATTAAATAAAGCTAAATGATTTTATAGTTACTAATTACTTTTTTTTTTCCTCATTCAGGCACTAAATTTCATGTCATAAATTGCAGTTCATTGTTGGGATGGAGGTTAAAGGGATTTTACTTCTTAATCTGTACTATTGTAGATATTTACAAGCTAATTTGTTTTATTATAACATTCTGTCTTACTGACTTGAATAGAAAATGTGTCTTGGAATATTCTTTATGGAACTGATACACATGAAGATGTGAAGCATTTTTTTATTGAGAAGCACTATTCTTTGAAGTCATCAGTTTACATAAAAATGTTGTTTTCCATTCACTTCATAATTTTGAAGGAGATATAAAAAAAACGGTGCTGTGAAATAAATTCCTTATGTTTGCTACTAAACTGTTTGTTTAGTTGCAAGAACATTATGTAGAAATCAGGATATGAATAGTTGGGGATGTTTGAGTCTCTTTTATTTTGATTGTAAGTAAACATTACATTTCTGTGTTGCAATAGGAGCTAAGTACGCGGTTCAAAGTTTGTTTCCAAATAACTTTGGGTCTTTTCTGTATACTTACTTTCTGTCCTTTGTGGCAGTTTTTATTACATTGCAGCATTATGCCAAAACTGCTCAATCACTGTTCAACCCAATACAAGGTCATCTAAATGTAAATAACTTCTGACAGCTGTTGTCTACTTGTTTCTTAAAAAAAAACAAATAAAAGAAATAGGTTTCATAACATTTTTAGGCAAACTAACCAGCTTCTAACTACTGTTCTGCTAGAAAACCCTAATATCCAAGGCGAATTCCCTATGAGGAATGTTATGTCTGCTCTTCCATGACCACTACTAACATGGAGAACTGTTTGTTTTCATTTTCACAGCAGCTGCCTTTCTATATGCAAACCATCTTGTCTGAACCTCCCTTGGTCTTTTTTTCAGTCTATTAGATAAACCCAGCTCCTGCAGCCTTCCCTTGTTTGTAACGTCCTCATCATTTTTCTTGCTCTGTCCTGAGCTCTCACAAAGTGGAGTAGATCTGTCTAGAAACACTTGACATGGCAGGCAGACTGCAGTCTTAGAAAAATAAGAGCAGAGGTAAGTGTTTTTCTTTCATCCACCTTGCCAGCTCTGTTCGTGGTTACACATCATAGTGTGACACTTTTTACCATCACAGCTTGATATTGTTCACATGTTCAGATTGCAATCGTAATGTCTTCCTTCTCCCTTCCACCCTTCTTTGCCTACTATTTATCAGATTGATCTTAGAACTGTTACTTAGCCTGATTTTCCCATATTATTTCTGCCCAAGTGTCAGAACTTGGTGTCTGACAGGTTATTTCCCCCCTTAAGGCTTTTCTCTAATTTTACTGTGTATGTTAACTCTGTCATCCAAGGTGGCAGCATTTTCCAGCCAGATGTCATCTGGAAATTTAAACATACTCTCAAATTCCTGTAAATAATTTATGAAAATGCTGCCTGATACAGGCCTTTACTTACTTTTTGGAATCTAATGTAATACGTATAACTCTGACAGGGAGCAATTGATTACTCTTTTGAGCACAATTTGCCTCTCTCTTACAGTGGTTTTATTTAGACTGCATTCTCCCAGCTTTTATGTAACCTCTGTTACCATTGTACTGGTCAAGACACGTGATGTGTACCACCGTAATACCAGGTATTGGCAAGAAAACTGGCCAGTTTTCTTTTCAATAGCCAGGTCAGACACAATTTCTTCTTGGCAGACCCTTGACTGTTGCTTACCTAGCCGTTATTCTATTGACTCAGACAAGGAAGAGTAACTTGTTCACGTGTTTTTGAAATAACTTGAATTAAATCAGACATTTATCATTTCCATTGATCTGTTTGCCCTCTTCTGAAAGATCACAAGGACCTCTATATTCCTGGAATATACCTCATGCCAGAAAATTGCTGGTAAACAAAAATTGGCAAAACAAATATGTAGTGTTCTCAGGCTCCTCTCCTTTAGAGATATGCTTTAATATGTCCGTTCTTTCCCAGTCAGTTCTTATTTCTATGTTACTTTGCAGTTGTGTTAACACTGACTCTGTCATCTGTTTAAGACTGAAGAAACAAGGGTGCCGTGCACTTTAGCTTATTATGTCATTGCTGAATAGTGGCAGATTGTCTCTCATTTCCACACAGTTACTGAAAAAAATACTAGCCTTGTAACTCACTATTTTGCTAAAATAATTACAATGCAACACAATATTTATAATGATAGTGTGATTACAGCACCAATCCATTTTGAGGTACCAATGCAATTGGTCAGGAAGGATCATCATCTGTTTAGTTTACTACTACCTGTGGGTCAACTTCCACCTTTGGTTGAAGTCTGCAAGTACAGTCTACACTATTCCATGAGGTGTACTCTTCAGTAGTTTATGCTACGTGCCTCAGTCTGGAAAAATAGTTGGAAAATGTTCAACCAGAACTCTCAGGGAGAGGAGGACAACCTCCCTGAGACAGTGAACTAGTCTGTTCACACTACTGCTACCAGGGCAGAAATAGCTTTTAAGGAATGTGTAAGATCCATATTGCACAACAGGTATTTCAGTCCCTAGAGATCCCTAGAGCACCTTCAAGGGAGACCAGGAGCAAACAGAAGCAAAGGCCACAGAAGCAATGGTCACAGAACCAAGAGATGCAGGAATGCAGCATGGTATGATTAAAAATTGAGCTAAGCATCAGAATACCAAAGATGCTTTGTCTTGCAGAGCAAAGTTCTAGGAGGAGAAAGGAACAGGGGATCAGATGAAGCTGCATGAAGATGTTACGAGGTTAGGCAGAGCAGAAACCAAGCATGGTATCTCCTAGTCGTCTTCCACAGCTGGACAAGCTGCAGTACTCACTGAAGAGTCAGTGCAGAGGGGCTGTCATGCAATGGCTGGTTGGCCTGCACCAGCTCTCCTTGAAAATCTACATCCCCAGCTGGGTGAGGAGTAAACGAGCAGGATTGCTGAAGCCCAGTCACTGTGGGACCTAGTTTACCCAACTTTGGCCAGCTGTGTCCCATCCCACACGGCAGTGAAGTGCCATAGACCTTGTCACTGCTGCAGTGCCCTGAAGCTGTTTCATCTGCTGCTGTGAATACCCTGAGTGAACATCTCCCTGGGTTTTCCAGATTTTTAGCCTATAACTTCTAGTGATAGGACAAGCTGGCTACTAGTGCTGCAGTGGAAATGTTATGGCAGATTAGCAAGTATTAGAAAAATTTATCCTGGTCGTGCCTGGTTTTAGTTGCCTCAGTTCAGATGCTGTTTTGTTGGTGCATTTCTTATTTGTTGTGGTTTCAGATAAATCTGAAAATGCACAATGAGATTGAATCTGCTCCATCCATCCCTTATTAGACGACAGGTTGTGCAAAAATATGAAGCTGGCTTCTACCTTGGCAGTTGAGATGCATTTAGATTTAGGTTTTATGTTTAAACTGCTGACATATGTTTCACTTTCCTTTAACTGAAGTGTCTTTTCTGGTATTGTATTAAGCTTCTACTATCTCTCCTGAGGGATGCTCTTAAGTTAATGTATGGTATGGGACCAGCATCCATCTACATTACAGGGAACAGCTGAATCTTCCTGGGCAGGAGCACCTTTACCTCACCTGGTTTCTGTATAAGGCCATTAGGTTCCTGAAACAAACCAAAAAACTGACCTCCTGACCGTAGCAATTGCCATGTAAATGTATGTACTTTTGATGCAGTTCTCCAGTCTATATTGCATAGCTATCAGATGTGCAAACTTAATTGCTGACTGCTAGGGTGTTAATTAAAATTCTTGTCTGTGCGGGCTCAAGTATGACCTTTATTAAATGCTTTTCTTAGCAGCTATCCTATTGGATTTGCCTTGTCAACAGCACACAAAAAAAACCCAAACCACCCTTGTAGCTCTTTTCTGTTAAAAATCCCTTGTGGTAATTCATTGGGATTTATGGTTTAAATATGTATTTATTCCAAAATATTTTCTTATGATGTTCACTTGGAATATATTGAATAAATATTCCCCTCATTTCTGAGATTTTCTTGTCCTTGAAGTTTCGAGTTTGAAGTAACACTGGTACTTCTTTCATGTTAAAATCCTGGATTAACAGATATCTGTTTATAGAGCTATTTATACAAAACAGTCTGGCAGCAACTGAGTTTAATAAGAGAAAATTCTACAGCTAATATAAATTATCATGGCTTTGTTTATTTCAGCATGTTTCTCTATCAGTGTAAGAACTGACCCCCCGTATTTCTAATTCTTTTTTTTTTTGAGGAGTGTGGGCTGGGTGTTGTGATTTTCTTTTTGTGTATAAATAACTGTAGGAAAAAACAAAAGTTGGACCAAAGTGGAAAAATCCCATTTCTTGGAGAAACCAATACTTACAATTTTTTTGTTTGTGCCTGTTTAATAACTTCTAAGAATGTATTTGAGCTTGCTCTAAGAATTTTTCTGTGGTAATACTTAGAGGCAAATTAGCCTTTAAAATATTGGTAGACTGGGAGTTTCCAAGTGAGAGTTTAGTGCAGTGTTGGGAACCAGGGAACTCACTGTCAGCTTTTTTTTATTTCCCTTACCTGTTTATTCCTTTTCCCGTGTTCATTATCTATTAATTTCCATAATTCACTGCCCTCCTTCCATATTTATGTTCCTTCATATTCTTTTTAAAAATGATTGCTATCTGGAAAAATAATTTTAATACATTAATTCTTATGTCTTCAAATGTAAACAGTGAAAACTGGCATTTTTTATCCCTATATATATTTTTATATCTTATATATATCGTCATTTTCAATTAATATGCAAGGTTGATTAAATGCTAGTTCAACAGTCTGACCTGATCCTTGAGCTTTCTTGCATTTGGCATGAAAATAAAATGATGACCAAGATGGTGCATGCTAGCAATTAGTGTCTTTTTTTAAAGTTTTGACCTTGCTTTCAAATAGAAGAGTGAAGTTTAATGCTGTGTTCCATAATTACTGAATGACTAATGGATTCCACTTTTCTTTAGCTACATATAATGCTGATAGATAGAGACTGTGAAGTGTTGGATTTTAGCTGATACGGCTGAAGTGATGGTTCTAACATTTTTCATGCTTATCACAAAACAGTCTTTAAAAATCTAAAATATATTTTCTGTTTAAAGTAAACACTGAACAGCCTTGTGCCTCTTATTGCACCAAAGGGGCCTGTTTGAGGTAAAACTCAAAGGAAATGGGACCCGCATGAGTCCTGCTCCTCTCGGTCATTCGGGCAGTCTGAGTCCACCCTGTGTTTTCAGATTGTGTAAGTAACCCCTAATGATCTTACATTTTGGTACTTACGTAGCAACCAATACAGTAGTAATGCAATAAATGACTATTTATTGAGGGTGGTGGTGTCTTCACCTCACTGGTTAATGAAATGGGAGAACTGGTGGCAGTAATGTCTCTGTGCCCTTGGGTTTGCTGCAGTGAGGGAAATAACTGCGCTGCGATGCTCTAGGCTACTCTCACTCAGCCCACAGGCCAGCCTCAAGGGATGCTATTTATTGCTAGCAGTCATGAACCAGAGAAAAAAAAATTATAGCCTCTAAGTGATGAGTTTCCTCTTCATTGGTTATGGATGGAGGCTGAGGAGAGGAGCCCTTGTTCAGGAGCTGCAGAATGAGAGCTGCTCCCCACCTGTATTATCTTAGCCGAGGAAGACCCTCAGGAAAGCAAAGGTCACAGGCTCTTCACAAGATCCAGCTCAGGAGAAGGGCTGAGCTGGTACTTAACTAGATAGTCATATTTCACATCAGGTGATGCCTTGACTCTGCACTTCATTTTCCAATCGATTTTGAGCGCAATCAAGAGGTTGGAACTTGTTGTATAAAACAATTGTATATGTATAAAAAATGTATACAAAACATGTATAAAACATGATTTGTATAAATCATGGCTTGTGATCCTTGAAGCATACTGTGCTCGTCAAGTCCAAAGGAAACACTTTAGACTGTTGGCTTGTGAGTCCTCCAGATGTACTTGCAGGGAGCGTGCGTAACCTCATCTTCAACTTCTGCCTCAGCTGTTTGTGTCTAGCATTTTTTAGTGAAGTAGTTGAAACTTAGTTCATAAATCCATTCAAAAGCTACTATTTCTAGCTAACTAAAGCTGCATGTGATTAAAAAATGGGCTTATTTGAATATTTTTAGAGGATGGAAGCATTTCATATTATGTGATGTTTGTAATAGGAACAATGAGATATTTTTAAAAAATAAATTAAGGACTTTCAACTTGTGATTCTGGCAGCATACATTGTGTTTTCTTGGCTTTCAAGAGGCTATTCACCACAGAACTTTCTTCTTGCATTCTTCTAACTTTGCAGACATTTAAGTAAAATGCTTCCCTTGTTTTCTTTTCCAATGATTGCACTTATTATAGTTCAGTGCCTGATATATTATTTTTATTAACTTAGTGAGCAATGAAGCAGTGGTGAATTTCAGAAAAGGGAGGATAAGCTGGACTATGTACATGTATTCCTGCATGTACAATCGCATGCTTGTGGTGATATCAAGCCGTGCTATTCTTTAGCAGATCACACCTTTTGTTTTAGATTACTTTTATTTGGCAAATGCCAATCTTGCCACATCCCCTGCATCTGCTTTGTTTAAGGGAATAGTGGTGCCATCACCATGGACTAATCCAATTGACAGACTTCTGCCATCGAATCAGGATTTCACTCACATTTCATGTTACGTGGATCTTGTCAATTTAAGATGCTGCCCCTACCCAACTGTTTGCTACTAACAGGCACCTCACAGCAAAACCAGTGGATAAGATCATGAGGGGGTTTTGTGTACTTATGGACAAAAAAATCAGCTACATCAACTTACTTTACCTCAGGTGAAGAGGTCACCTGAGGAAGCTCTGGGAGCAGTGAATGGCACCTCAGCTTAGTGCATTAAGACTATGTACCTGCTACTTTTTATATGATTGTTGTGACATAACTGCTGTTTCCTAAAACTTTTTTTTCTTTTTGTTTTTTGTTGGTGAGAGGATTTAGCTTTAATATTTACCTGAAGATAAACTCTTTGCAAACATCTGTAAATTTACTATGCCCTTCTAGGCTTGCAAATTTATCTGCTGCTTGCCCTATTTAGCATAATTGAGTTTACTAGAAATTCAAAATCTTGGCTGCTGTAAACACAGTTTTGCATATGATTTGTCCTTTATCAGCTGTGCCTCAGACATTAAGTATTAAATTTTATCTACCCTTCGTGGTTAGGTCTGTTTAAGGATGTGATGTGTAAAGTTTGGTGGTCTCTTCCAGTTTTAAAAAACTGTCAGTTTGATCACTAGAGCTGAAAACACAACAAAATACCTGTTCACAGGGCTCCATGAAATGTTCCTTAACCAGTATGTGGAGACCTCTTGTGTTTCTTTTGTGAGGGAGAACCAAAAAAATATTTACTGGTTGGACTCCAGCAAATGGATTTCCGTGTAGCTAGAATGCATAAAGAGCTGCTGCACCACTAAATCGCTTCTGAAAATTTAAAAGGAAGAAAGCACTTTGGCTTCTTCACTGTCTTATAGTATTGTCAGCACTTCACTGTCACACATTATTTTATGTCTTTGTTGCTAGAAGCATTAGCTTTTAGATTAATGACAACTTGCTGATAGAAAATCATTCAGAACATCAAATTTTAGGGCTGCCATCAAAGCATTGCAAAGAATGTCACAGATCCAAATGACTGAGTTGTGTGTATCTAAAAATACAGTGACCCTAAAAGTGTAAATATCAATATGTGTGTGCATAGACATATAGGGATACATTTTAAATTAGATGCTTATAACTAAGAAAGATCTGGGAATTGTTGGAAGTAGCCCTCTGAAAATGTCCACTCGGTGATTAGCAGCAGTTGAAAAAACACTAGTGTGTTTGAAATTATTAAACAGTAAATGGAGAAATATCAGTATGCCAGTGTACCATTTCAGTTCATTGATCTCCGAAATACGCATATAATGGATTTTTAAAAGTCAAAGAAACAACACAATCTTCCCTCATACGAAATAATTCTTTATTTAAGTAGACCATGACTGCTCAGCCTGAATTATGGAACCAAAATGTGAAATTAACATGCTAATAGATGAGTTAAAAATGTAAAGCACATGAATAAGGAATGATTAGTCACTATGGGTTATAATACAAGACCAATTGAACACACGACGAAAGTTATTAGAGATGAGGTTTGAAAGATGAAAGGGACTTTTTCAAAGAAAGGGTAATCTGCATTTTGAAAGTTATTCTCAGATGATGTAGTATACATTAGTGTTATAAATAGGATCTGAAGCAATTCATGAAAGATAAGGCCATTTCTGACTATCGGTCACTAAAAAGGACCTGAATGGAACCTCTGGCTCAAGCCTTTAAGGCACCTGATTTCCAGAAGGAGGTATTTGCTGATAGAAACTTATTATTCACAGCCATAGTCACTCAAAGACTGATATTTGCAGACTTCAGCTATTCTACTATATATAGATATAACAATTGATATTCATTTCATGAATGTGGTCATAATAAATTTCATGGCTAGATTAAGTATATTAGCACCTTTTTAGTGTAATTTTTTAACAGCTCACATTATTGGAATGTTCTCAAACATTGGTAATGTCATGGGTAGTACTAACATGCAATGCTTAATCTGGAACTTAAACTTTATTATTTAAAAATCTGTTTACATTGATCAAGAACATTAAATTAAAAAGCCATAATTTTACTAAAAACTCTAAAATATTGATTCTAACACAGAACCTCGCATAACCAGAGGCTGTTTCTAACAGGTGTGTATGATTCAAACTGTACCATGCATATTAAAACACTACTGTTTACAATTATTAAATTAATTGTACATTATTAAAGCACTGTTTGTTTACATTGGATCTGCTATGGCTTCTGTCCTGCTTCTTGCTGCACAGCAAAGAAATTTCTCCATGGAATTCATATGTGGACTCTTAGTACAGATGGGGAACAGTTTTGACTAGGGATAATTGTATTTTTTCTGCCACTTCTG